CGCCGGCCTGGCGACAGGGCGTTCTGCCTCATTAAGCAGAGTACATCATTCTGGCTCTCCCACCCCCTTTTGACAGTCGGAAAGGATAGGCAGCTCGACGAGACGGTGGAACAGTCGTGCCGGTGGGTGGTGTTGAGGTTGGCTGCTGCTCGACGGGGCGGCAATTTCGCAGGATTACGCTAAAGCCGGAGATGCCTTATCAGACAATCGTGTCGACACTTTTTGTGGCCACATTCTACGAGGGTTCGAAGCCGGCAACACGATTTGTTGACTTGAATCAAACTGGCCGGCCACGTGTTTGATGCATGACCAGGTCTCTGTCACAACTCTTTGATAAACCGGTCGTAAGAAATTGGTGCTGAAGACAAGTCTTAAAAAAAAGTAAAGAAATAAAGACCAAGATGTTGTGACCTCTGATGTGGTCGCAGTCTCCTTTCGATTTATAAAAGTGGGTTGACCTCGTGGTGGCAACTTGGTCTTGTTGTCAGGGCGACTATTGTCTACCAGAGTAGTTGTCATGATTCCCAGCATCATACAATGGAGTTGGTACCTTATCAGACGTCAAAGAGACAAGTCAAGTCAATCCTTCCACCAACAAGTGAGAATGCAAGTGGATGAGCCGGTAAAGAGTAGATAGATAGGCCGGGACAGAAAGAATAGTGAGAATGTGTCGAGGGATTGACTTCACCTGTCTCGGAGAATGGCAAAACTCACTGATCATGTCGACGAAACGTTTGATAATGTACCAAGTCCACTGTCAGATGCTGGCAATCCTGACAATTACTATGGCAGACGACTTCGGACTAGATGCGTTCTACATAGTCGCCCTGACAACAAGACCAAGTTGCGACAACGAGGTCAACCCACTTCTTTGAAAAAATGGAGCTCAATTTGCTTTCATCTTGCGGATGTCAAATATTCCTTCCAACTATTCTGTCATTTTTTCCGGTACTCGTTTCCTCCTTCAGCTTAAGGATTGTCAGAAATACATTTTTTTCAAATAGGTTTTGCCTAATTTTTACCTCTCGAGTTTTCCTAAGGTCTTGCCATACAACAGAAGTTGTAGCATTTCAGTAGCAGATGAGTAGTGTGTGCCGATAAAATAGGAGA